AACGAGGTAGCGAACGGCTGCGACTCGTAAGTAGCGGATGCTTTTGTTTTAACTTATTCGCCAGGCCCTCATGCTTTGTTGTTTTGCATATTTGTGAGGTACGGTTCATTGAATCTGAGCAGCCGTTTCGCGTCCACAACCGGACGTTCAGGCCGATCTGTGGCACGGTGTATAAACGGTTTTCAGCTCGCAGACGACGGTTGCACGATCGCTTGAGTACCGAGCTCGCAATGCCGCGAATTCAAGTCCCGGTCTGGTGTTTTCATATGCAGCCTTCTGGCTTGTGCGACAGACAAATGAGCACCGGTTTGTGAGAAAGCGAAGCACGAGTCTAAATGCCATGGCAGTTTCGTGGTTGCAGCTGCTCATCTTTTTCCTCGTCCATTCCAGTTTTTCTTTTCTTATTCGTCTTTTCTTCACTTCCTTGTCCCGTCACAGGGGATTAGGAAGTGAAGAAACCCGGCTGCCGCAGGTACTCCACGTAAATCGAAAAAAATGCAGTCAAGCTCTTCAGACCTTTCGATGGAATGTCAGCCTTCTTACGCGATCTTGTCGTCTTGATTCCAGCTCTTCCGACAGTTGCTTGTGATCACGCACTGCGATCACCATGCGCCTCACAAATTTACAGTCTTCCGTCTGCAGGCAATGGTCCACCCCCTTGAACGCCTTGTGTGCAGCCAATCAGCCGTCTTCATTCGATATCTTATTTTGTCTCTTACAACATTTCACACCATCGGTTGCCACTTCACCATAAATATTGATCGGACGATTTTCGCTACCGTCGCCTCCGGCTTTTGGCTGTCAGTCTGTACTACCACAGAGCAAGGTATTCAGGATGCAACCCTTGCATATCTGCACCCTTGTCCTACTGTCATTATCGTTGTCCTTACGGAGCTTGAATAACTGGTTGCTAGCTGCTAATGTCGACCACAGCGCATCTTGACTTCGTCCGTCGATCGTGAGTCTGTAGCCCCTGTACTTACAACGAAGGTACAGATGTTTCAGCACTTTTTCTACCACTGCGGTATCGAGGACCAGAGAGACACTGGTTCTTGTTTTAGTTAATTGAGTGAACCAGATCAGAGCATGTCTGTTTCAAAGTTAGAAACAGTGATGCCACAGCTTCGAAGTTGTTTGCTAGCAGTGCGGTATCATCCGCAAATGTGAGGCAGTTCACGCAGATGCTACTCACTCCTTAGTTTGGTTAGAGTACCCATTCAAGAAGCACAGATTTCATCCTCCTTGCATTACCTCAATCTTTGCTGAATTTTTTCAACCTGTCATCTGTCCGCACTGTTCTTTACTGAAGATCATACATCTTTTTAATAATGCAAATAATCTATGCTGGGATTCCGTGTTGTCGTCGATCTTGCTTCAGTTTCATGATTGCGCCATTTTGGCACCCATCGATTCATCCAATTGATGGTATGGCGCTGATGTCAGTTTCATGCCATGAACCAGGAGTGCCTTAGCCTAATGGTAGAGGTGGCAAGCGTAATATGTAACCTCCTGCTTCCTTCCTACAGAGTGGTACTCATCTATCACCCTCATAAGGAAGAAGGGCAAGTGACCCTGACCAGGGCTTGAACACAGACCTATCGGTTCTGAGTTTGACACTCAATCGGCAGAGCAGCGCTAGTGTGCAGTGTTGTACAGTAAATTTCTTGCTCAAGGGAATTCTTGAATAAGACAAAAATTGCCAATGACCGTAATCGAACCAGGCACCTCTGGAGTTCGAAGCAGCAGACCTGTTAGACATTGTGCCACTATGCCACGAAGAGTGTTCATATTGTTCGCCAACTTTCCACGAAGCATTCCTTGAGATTATTTCAAAGACTGATAAATTGAACAACGATTCAAAGAATTTTTCTATCCCTTTACTCCCTTCATGTGAATGGATGTCTTATTATGAATATGTTATCCCCCCCGCATGTTTTTAAGTGGAAGGGCTGTTCTTAACACAAGATCGCAAGTTGCTTTCTAATCTTGATCACGATCACACACATGATCAGTTTAGCACAAATCGATGATAGACTCATATCACGATTGTCGTCTGACTCCGTGTAACCACTCCTGTAGCTCTGCCGTTTTCTACTTCTTTAAGGGACAGAGGACTTTGACATGGATTCCTTGACATTTCTAGGCATAGTATCACACAAAGTACCTTGTCTCAGAGTCACATGAAGACTAGCCACCGGTTCGAAACTCTCTTGCTATATTTGCAGCGCTTCTGTAGGACTGGGCCTGAGATGTCTAGTTTCTTTCATAATGGCTGTTGTTTAAAGTTTCTTCGTATCGAAGAAGCAATGAAGGTCCTGAGCGGCGTCTTCATGGCATTTTTCTGGCGGCTTCTTCCGTTGTTTCAGCCTTCCTGATCCAGAAAAATGCGCATTTAATTTTCCGCAGCGTTTTTTTTTGTTTCCTTCTATGCATCTCTGTTGACACATTGC